TATATATATAAAATTTGTGTGAAATCCACAATTATTTGTTTATTCAGTCAGTATTTAACACAGCTGATACAATAACCTGTTAAAATATGGAAAGGATGTTAGCAAAATATTTTATGACCCACTTGATGGTCTTCAAAGAATTTTTCAGAATGTAATCCTTCAAGTCGTTAATTTCAAAATAATTTAGTGAAAGTATTCTTACAAGTGAATACCGTTTAAAGTCAATCAAGTTCAAGATGGCTGCCCCAGCTAAGTGCACAGGAAATACAAAAAAAGGGCTGTTTCTCACCCAATCTGACAGATGCTGGACTAAAACTTTGTGGGGCAATTCACTCTTAGAAAACCACATTGTGTGGCATTTTTGGGTAAAACTTTGACATCAGCTGTTTTGTGTCAACAATAAGTGACTGGACAATTTTCAATGAAATTTTCATTAGATGTAAATCTATAATTGATCAATGTTTGGAGTCACCCCAGTTTAGGATGTCCTTTTCAACCTTACGAAACACAAAAATGTCTATAAATTCAGCTGAAATATGATGTGGTATTATGTGACAGTCATCCTACTACGAGAACACACATACTACAAGTTCTCACAAGAGATCGAGCAGACCATAACAAGGTTAAACAAAAACCGATATCTCCATAATTTATCATCTTATGATAAGAAAATGACAAAACTCTGACATGAAAAGCAATGGGCAATATGCATTCCTTCAAGCAATACTAGGCCTATAATTTAGTTTCTATGTAGGCTAGTTCATAAAAAAAAATAACGTTTTGCTTTGCAGCCGAATACAATATACTACAAACAATAGAATGAGAAGAATCAGATGAACATTGCTTAAATCTTTATATAAGAAAAACTGACTGGAAATTGTCTTGTTTTCCATCCTAGACAATCATGTTTATAACTTACATATTAATATTAGAATAACATCGTATTTGAACTCTGTTCAAACATACAGGCTACCAGACTGTTTTGGCTCACTGGGCTATTTCTTCTTTCAAACAAAGAAGCAAAGTTCACAACAACTCACTCTCTGCTGTTTAGTTTCAGGTTCGTGAGTTGTTCTATCGTTTCGAACTCAAAAAGCTGCGACAAATGACTGGAAAATTTAACTACAATCTGGTAATATACTGGGCGGAACACCTTTGCAGTACAGTTTTCCATGTACGGGTTTTCTAAAGTGAATGAGGAAATGCATTATAAAAAGTGAAAAACAGAGACTTACAGCGTAAGAAGACCTCTCACAGGACGAGTAATGCRCGCCGCCATGTTTTCCAGTGACGATACAAGACAACGCACGGATTGGCTTCCTCAGATGTTTCCGCTGTCGGATGAGTCATGTGATTGGCCAAAGACAAAAGAGGGGCGGGGTTTGGGAAACAAGACACGTGGTTAAGTAAACAATATAAACAGACAGGTTGTAGGAGCTGTCACAGGGAGGCAAGAAACACAAGCCCTTCTGATTCTGGAAAAAAAGGGGAAAAAGCTGAAAAGAATGAGAGCATTTTTAAGTAGCTATCAAAAGTTTTTGTTTGTTTGCTTTTTTGTCTCTGAAATGGTGACGTGTTCACTGAGGCAGAAAAGACAGAAAGTCTGTCATGCACCTGAGACAAGCTGGAAAAATACAAGCAGAAACAGAGATATGAGCACAGGTCACATCACCATAGGAGTTGTCTGTCACAGCAGTGGTGAATTACTACCACTACCATCAGCCAGGTCCGAGTGTTGTGAACAAATGACACGCAGTATTTGCCATGATTAGGTCTGCAGGGGATGTGCTCCAAATGTCAGTGTTCAAGGACAAGTCTTTGGGATGTGTTTTTGTACCAAAATGTACTGCAGAACTTACTGTTTGAAAAATGTATGTTAGTGGTGAAAGAATAAAGTAAAAATATTTTGTCACTTTCAGTGGAAAGCTGAAGTTATTAGTTAATGTTATATATGCATATATAGGTTTATAAATTCAGACAAAATAAAATAAAAAATAGAAAAAAGTATTTCTTAGAAATAAATCATGTTTACTGACTGCATACAAAAAAAATCAAATTAAAATAAAACATGGAGAGAAAATGTGTAGTAYATCCCCCCTTTTTGAAACTATAAAATATCGAGAATTTTCATATTAACAACAAATCAAAATACGCTCATACATTTTTACCTTGATTGTCTCCTAATTTTTTCAATTTCCTCTCAATTATAAACATTTAAAATTGGAAGCTGGTAGGATCAGAGTGAAGTGAGTCAAACATGGAAAACCAAATTAAATTCAGTTTATTCATATCACCAAGTCCCAATGAATGTCGTCCCAGGACACTGTGAAAAAAATCCATCTAAAGAAGCCAGCAGATTATGTTGAATCACTTCATTGCAGTCACTCATACTGAGCAAGCACACTGGCAACAGTGGAATGTACAAATTCCCTTTTACCCAAAAATGAACCTCCAGCAGAACCAGAACCAGGATGAGCGGCCATCTGCCTTGACAGGCTGGGTTTGAGGGGACAGGAAAGAGACACCCAGACACTGGCCCAGGTGTCATTTTCTATTAAAAAAATAAAGACAAAAAAAACATTATAGGAATTACTACAAATATAATAATTTTAATCTATTCTCTTTTACTTGCTTTTTTTCTGGCATGTAAAAAAATATTTTTAAATTACAGAACATCCTTGGGAAACACCTTAGCTGTTTTATGTATTTACATTAGACATTCTGTTTTCCAATCTGCAATATAAGAATTTATGCAACGTAAGAATKTTCAGTTTTAGTGAAAATGAATTGCACGTCTAAACCAAGTGGGGACATGTTTAAATTCATCCTTGCATGAGTTTAAAAAAAATGCATCGCAACAAAAAAATTCCATCCACTGGTTACTTGGAAACTACTTCTTTCCCTCCCCCCTTCTGTCCATCGAACACAATTCTTGTCTACTAATCCAGTTTTGATAGCATTTGGCACACTTTCTTTGGATCACAGCGAGATGCTTAACTTCCATTCTGGTCTCCCCTAGGAACCTCTGAGCCCAAGAAAGAAGTTGACACCAGGTCGAGCCAGAGCTGGGAGGTTCTCTGTGTCCTTGTGAGGCAGAAAAAAATGATTTTTTTTTCTTCTTCAAGTCAACCCCAGCCACACAAACACACACTGACACACACACATACACAAACATGTTAACAAGCTCATCAGCCTGTCAGTTAATTTGAGATTTATGCTGAATACATGCATTCTTGTCTGGTTTGTTGTTGAAAGTTACAATCACCTAACGACCCCCCAAAAGACAACAGAATATAAAATATGTCAAAGAGAAAGCTTTTTGCCTTTGTCCTCCTTCGTGTGTSYCCCCCCCCCCCCACTTCCATCCAAATGTACAATGCATCACTAGGCCTTGATGCCTCAGAAGTCTGGGTTCATTAAAATCTTGAACCAGTGCCAAAGCTGTAGTCGGAGATAAAAAGAATATGAAAGGATAACAAAATTTATGGATGGTGAGACACCACCTCACCCTGGCATTTATAATAAACAAATGGTTTCTGTTTCCAATTTAAATTTCTCATTATACTGTGACTTTTGGAAAATGTGTTTTGATTTACTAACATTTTATCTGAAAAACTGTATAATTGATTAGATTTACATGGCTCTGATTTTGATGCTGATCGCTTGCCTTCCCCAGCAGCACCCCACCCTCAGTCCAACCCCTCCACCCCCACCACCCAAAAAAGAATGATCTGAACAGCTCCTGAGGCACATTAACATCATATAAAACAAACCTACATATCAAACAGGTTTTTTTTTTCTCCTCCTGATAAAATAATTGGTTTAAACCAGCGCAGAAACCAGTTCATCCCTTTGAAAGGAAACCTCTATGAGGGCACCAAAAAATAAAAAAAAATGGCAAGATAGACTTCACAGCCAAAGTGAGATGGACATCAATGCAGTGTGCCAGCAATGGCTATATTAACCCATGGCTAAATCCCATCACACAAATGTCAGTGTATCCGTTATGAAACCATGACATTTAGATCCAAGGTCTCCATTGTGGTTTTAGAGGGAACTGATGTTTGTCCATTCTTTGCATCTGCCTCACAACCAACTGTAGTCCAAACATAAAAAAGATTAAAGATCACAAAAATCTTTAATTTTATGGCACAAGGCAATAATGTTCATCTTTGTATATTTCAAAACAAAGCATAAAAGTTACACCTACTTGTAAATATTTTTTCTTAAATTTGAAAAAAATTTACACATCAATTTCATACAAAGATAATGAATATTTATACACTGCTTAGAAGACATGGATGTTATGAAATTGGAAAAAAAACTGTTTTAAACATTGTTTTTATTTTGTATTGTACTTTTTTGGTAAATAATCATACATTAAATTTTTGAGAAAAAAATCAGGAATTGTACCGTAACCCATTTTATTAAAATACTTAAATAATAACAGCAACAAAAAAAGTATCAATAACTTATTAATAGAGTTAATCCAATTCAAGAAGGCTGCAATGTTTAGTCAATATTAGCAAATACTTAAAAAGGCTGTTTTTTCCTCCAAATGTTTTAACTAATTTGTTGCTTTTACAGTATTTGTATCATCTTTTCTCTTATAGGTTATGATTTTATTGGTTATTGTTTTACTGAATTTATTTGCTGTACAGCAACACTGACACAGCTTTTCTTCTTTGTAAAGTGCCATATGAATGAAATTAGCATTGACATATTTCCTCAACACCCCCAGCAGCAATATTCGACTAACTCCTCCTAATTTACTCTGGACAACCTTTCTGAACATCACAGTTATCACCACAGCACACCAGGATGAGCCCAGCCTGACACATCACGACCACTCAGGAGTCATGTGTAATGAGCAGCAAAAGCCATATTCAACAACTGGACAGTAAATATGAAGCTTTCATGTAATGACAGCAGCACCTAAAATTCACTTGGCTGAGAATCACATCTTTAAATATCACCTCTGTACATTAGTTTGGATCTTCTTTACCTCTCCTCAGGGATCAGAAAGCTGGCAGGGTTAAGAAGTAAGAGGTCGGTACAGAGGAAAAAGYGCAATAGAACTCTTTTATTACTAAATCTCTCCTCGTTTTCTATCTCTCTTTTTTACTAAGGGCTGTCCAAATGTGRATTTCAAATGATATCATGACAATTTTTCATGCTCTTCAGACCAGTGATGTTTTACCGACTCATTTGCTATGATACCTTGTTACGGATCCAGCTGTGAATCAGGGASGATTCATGGGGCTAGAAGCCCAACCCCTGCTGAGCCTGGCCAATGACCTGGAAGGCAATAGGGGATGCCAGTGCCTGCAGCATGTGCTGCACTGACAAAGCAGCAGGGCACCGTCAAAAACCCTCTCATACAAACTTTGCAGATCACTCTGTTTTTAACAGATGAGTAAGCACTGGTGCTAACTTCTTTTTTTTTCTTCTTTCTTTGCCCTCACATGAGATTCATGGATTTCCCTTTGCGAGAGCGTGGCTATGGTTGACGCACAGCAAAGCCCTTGCCCACAAGGGGAATGGTGTAGTGGTGGATCTGAGAGAGAAGACTACAGATAGCATGTGGCAGGGTCACTGCACAGGTTAAGCAACATTTCAGTTGAATGCCCAATGAGAGAAGTGGAGTGTGGTTGGAAAAGACCAGCACACCAGTTCGGGAGCATTTCAGAATAAATTTTGGCCTTCGAACCAAAATCAGCTGATTCGATTATATGTATTAATATTAGAAGTAATAAACAGTTTTAACTATTTTTCAACCTTTTTGCAAGTCTTGTATAAAGTACCTCGAAGTGAAACATGAGTAAAAGTACAAGTATCAAAAATAATTTGGTAATAATTAGTGTCCTCTAAAAATASYASTTGAGTAAATGTCTTAAAGTATTTGACATTTACTGCACTTAGGTTTCAAAAATAAAAAACAAAAGTATTGAGTAAATGTGAATGGTTACAATTTCCAAAATGGCATTTATTGGAAAGTGACCTTCCTAAAAAACATTTTACCAAAGACCATAATCACTATAATGTTATATTAAAATGTTAATGTTGAAAAAAAATAGGATGCACCTGTTATAGGTACATATACAGTATCTCTGCCATGATCATCTTCATACGGCACGTCTTCTACAGGGGTTAGACCAAAAAAACTGAAACACCTGGTTTTAGACCATAACATCCCTTTCAGACAGCTTCCTCTTGCGTCCACAGTTAATTCTGTTGGATGTGGTTGGTCCTTCTTGGTGGTATGCTGACATTACCCTGKAKACYGTGGCTCTTGATACTGTACATCACAAAGACTTGCTGTCTTGGTCACAGATGCACCAGCAAGAYGTGCACCAACAATTTGTCCTCTTTTGAACTCTGGTATGTCACCCATAATGTTGAGTGCATTGCAAWATTTTGAGCAAAACTG